CAACTCGGCAACGGCGGGAGGCAGGGGGCGCCTCCCCTGGGGATGCTGGCGGAGCCGGCTTGCCCGGCTTAGAGACCATGCCGCCGCTCAGGAGCCGTCTGTCAATCCTGCAGCGTTTGTATCCAGATGTGCATCCCCTGCCGCCCATTCTGGCCTGCTCAGGGCTGTTGTGCGGGGCTGGGGCTGCAGAAAGAGCCGTGACAGAAATACCTAGAGAAACGCACGATCCCAACACCCGGCACTCGCTCCGCATCGTCCAGCCCCACAACGTGGCTCGGCCAGGAGCCGTCTGTCAATCCTGCAGCGTTTGTATCCAGATGTGCATCCCCTGCCGCCCATTCTGGCCTGCTCAGGGCTGTTGTGCGGGGCTGGGGCTGCAGAAAGAGCCGTGACAGAAATACCTAGAGAAACGCACGATCCCAACACCCGGCACTCGCTCCGCATCGTCCAGCCCCACAACGTGGCTCGGCAACCCCGCAGGGAGCCTGGCCACAGCACCCCGGCCCCCGCCCTCGGCCTGCCCACTGTCACTAGATGAGCAGGACTGACAAGGTACAAGAACTGCAGCAGGTGCGGCCAGGCCAAACTCTCCAGTCTCCCGCCCCCCCGGGAGCCCTGGGGGTCAGGCCTGCCCTGCGGTACTGCCAGCCGCGCAGAGCCCCAGAAGGCAGCGTCCCGGGGCAGCTGCTGCAGGCACTCAGGGCAACACTTCGGCTGTGTCCACATTGGCATGATCTTGTGCAAAAGTGGCCGCTTTTGTGCAAAACTTGCTGCCTCTCTACACTGCCCACAGTGTGCAAGGACACTGACGTTCTACTGTGTGAAATCAGGGCTTCTTGTGCAAGAACTATGATGCTCCTGCTCAGGAAGAAGCCCTTTTGCGTAACTGTTCTTGTGCAAGAGGCCAGTGTGGACAGGCAACCTGAGTGTCTTGCGCAAGAAAGCCCTGTGGTTAAAATGGGCATCAGAGCTTCCTTGCGCAAGAGAGCGTCTACACTGGCATGGATGCTCTTGCACAAAGCACATGCCAGTGCAGACGCTCTCTTCTGGAAGAGTTTTTGCACAACTCCTCTGCAAAAGAGTTCTCGCACAAAATCACGCCAGCGTAGACGTAGCCTTCCAGAAACGTCTCGAAGCCCTGGCGCAAGGCAGCCGGCGCCTCAGCAAGAGCGGCCACTTCCTGCTTTCCCGGCGGAGGGGCTCCCTGGAGCGGAACGTCGCGATGGCCGTGCGGAGCCAGGAGACCCGGGTCGTTCTGCGTGCAGGCCTGCAGGGACGGGGATGGGCATTTCTCCCTAGGGAGCTCGGTTGGACGGCTTGTGTGCCCAATGCTCGCTGAAAACGGGCCCCTCCCCAATTCAGCATACAGCGCCCTGCTTGGCAGAGACCAGACAAGTCCTGATGCCACAGGGAGCCGATGCACCGTTCTCCTGGCCTCACAGAACTGCTCCCAAATCCAAGCCAGCCTGCCAGCCCTGCTGCGGGAAGGCCGGCGGAGGGGCCAGGCAGCGGTGGGCCCCAGCAGTGGGCCGGGCTCAGGACTGTGTGTGGCACGCTGGTCCTGCACCGGCGGCCGGCTGGCTCAGTCCCAACTTCCACAACAAGGTACATCATCCAAGGAAAGAACCCGTGCCGACTCCCGGCCCCTGGCT